AATAAAGGATCAACCCTTTCAACCTTGGATAATTGTGTCCTTACTAGTTATTTGTGCTTCAAATCTAATGTCTACTACTTCATACTAACGGTTGGTCATTTCCATTGTATATCAAATCCTTCTGGTTGTAAGGAATTAGTGCTTTTGACTGATATTAAGTGGTTGTTGATTATAGGAAGGTGTAGCATCCATTACGTATTACATGTTGTCACCCGTAGATGGATCACTGTGTGCATGATGAACCTTCTACAGTCACTTGTGGGCACTATAATTTCTTCTGACATTTATGATTTTTCATCTGTGTTTAAACATAGATATAGTAGGATCTATCATGTTTTCTTACATGGGTGATATGAAGATTAATGTCAATTCTAGTTTCTTTTCTTATAAGGTTGAATGTATCTTCCTGTATTTTAATGTTGTTTGTGGAGCATTATTATAAAAATTTGCACCACGGTCTTATGTCATACATAGCTGATAGGTGCATTCATAATCTTCATCACTTGCAAGTAGGCTATGTTTCTCATTTACAAGTTACTTAACGTCGACCACAAGAAGTTGTATTCATTGCACACCTTCTTATATATGTAGGAGTTTCTACATATATTTATAAGATGGCTAATTGAAGGGAGTTCATCACACTTTAGCTCAACTATTGTCGTATGGTTCAAATATTATTGTCATTTGCGGACAGAATATCACATTTCTACCATTCTTATTGGATGTCAATTATAGATGAGTCATGTTTTCTATGATTCCATGCTCGATCTATGTCTTCCAAAATTACACCTGAAAATCCTTCATCCTCTTAGGTAGGTTGCAACATACATATACATGATTAACTTGACGCCATTAATCATTAATATTTGTCATCCAATTGAAATGATGATTCCTATTTATTGTTGTTTGGGGATAAGGCATGTTCAACATTGCGAGTGGGTTGTCATGATCTAAAGGCTCTGTACTATGGCTTTATGATTAAGCTCTTTCTCTCATAACTGGCTTTATGATTAAGCTCTTTCTCCCATAACCATCTTCAATTAAAGATCACATTATACTTGTAACATGTATAATGAACTTGACACCATTAATATTCTCGATTTGATTGAGGTGACAATCTCTTGAATCTAAAAGAAAACTTCTACTTAGCACTTTGCATTCAAAGTGAAATGACAAATCCATTGGAATTTTCATATTTCAAGAAATCATTCCCCTCAATTATATTTAAACCCAACTCAAGCTCAAATTCAAGTTCAATGTCATTTTGTTTAAATCAAGTTTACTTGTGACTTTGTTCAAGTTCAGGTTGTTCAAGTCCTTGCATGGGTCCAAATTATACAAGCCATGTTACACTTAAATCATTTGGGTTCAAGTTCTGATTCAGTTTACTGTCGGCTGCTCCAAGTTCAATTAATGTTCAAATTGAGTTAGGTCATATTTGAGTTCATTTTATTTAGTATTCAAAACAAGTCCCCTGTTGTCCAAATTTTGTTCAAGTCTCCTGATAATTTGTCCAAGTCCTTGTGCGCTTCAGACGAAATTTCGTCAGCCTCCCGGCGTCTTCACTGTTTAGGGGAAATTTGATGAGTTTAGGCCTCCCGCCACACTAAAAAAAAGTATGCACGATTGATGTCATAGGACACCGCGGCCGTAGTCTTCGTCTCCCACCACTTCAGAGAAAGACGTGCATGAGTCTTCAGGCATCTATTTGAAATGCACAGTTTTATATTTGTCCCTGCCTCACCGTAGTTGTCGAACCAGGTTCCCTTCCCACCGTGCTAGAGAAAAACATGCATGAGTAGTTTTCCGGTGCACAACTAACGTTGAAAATATAATTTTATCCGTCTCATCGTAGGCGTTGCACCGGGTTCCTTTCCCACCACGCTAGAGAAAATCGTTCATGAACAATTTTCTAGTCTGACACTAACGCCGAAAATGGGGTTTTGAGTTTAGGACTTGCACCTGTGCGATGATCGACAAGGTGGAGGGTACAAAAATCAGGACAACAAAGTTTCTTTTCCTTCTCTTTTTTTTTTCCCCCTTTTTTTAACTTCTTTTTTTTTTTTTTTTTTTTTTT